CTTATCACGTCTGTGCACACTCCCGGGCTTCATATGGAGTCGCACGTACATGTATTCACACACCTCACACCAAATGGCATCCAGGTATTATGTATTTAAAGTGGCAACCTGCTGTTTTCTGTTCCTCCTGGTCTCCTGTGGCTGTCAGGGGCCTCTGATACCGCTGTTTAATGAGCAGAGGCTGGCCTGCTTCTGTTGTTGTCTGTCTGCCGTTGCAGCGCTGACCAGAGGAGACACGCAGGTCTGAGTCCCAGGGCTAATTGCTGCTGCTGGGCTGATAGTCTTTCTGTGCTCCACTCTCATTGACTCCCCAGACTCCGGAGGGATTCCCTCAGGCACCGAAAGACAAACAAACCTGGGCGGACAATCAATAGCGGATGCAAGAGTTAGCGCTCAGCACAGTGTCTGATTAAGATTCCCCAGGAATGTATGTGTTTATGTGAAACAGTGCGAGCTTGCAGGAGTGTTTGGTGATTGTCCTCACTCTGCCGGTGCTAACTGGAATCTTCAGTCAGTCCCTAAGTGCTTGTTTATGTGATTTTGATTATGAGCATCAGAGTTCACAACAGCAGCAAATTAATGCTTCAGGTAATTATTCACGCAACATCGCAGGTTCACAACGTAGTCGTGTGAGAGGAGATAATGTGCTAACAGTGAAAAGTAAAACTGCGTGTGCCACTTTCTGTTAGCCCCAGGTATTACTTTGACTTTTTCCTCTCCTGTGTGTCATTTTTTTGTTTCTGCAAGTAAGAATTCATTTTAAAAAGTCGCATATTACGTTAAAGCATAATTTGAAGCTAGGGGGGAAAGATATCACATAGGTTTTCACATTTTGGTGTAGAGTTCACATCTTTTTACATTTAAACTAATTGCATTTTGTGGGTATTTTTTCTATAGGCTGTAGTTTTGTATTATTCTTTTCCATTTACTCAAATTAGGGTGTTTTTCCTCCCTTTTTATGTTATTTAATTCCATAATAATGATTCAATTTATCTCATTTACAGCTGAATGAAATATCCTACTTATGTGGTGCATTGTTTCTAATGTAGCAGTATTTAAATAATACATTGGGAAATTCACTGCCTGCTATGTCCAGTGTTAATAGTTAAGGATTTTAAAGTTGCTTCTACAAGGCCAAGTGTACTGGTTAAAAAGGGGTTTTGTGATAGTGTTTTATTGTGTCTGCTGTTTGTGTTATTTCTGTAGCCTCATCCAGAAAAGCTGCTTATGGCATGACGTGTCCCTGTGTACCACTGACTGCCACTGGCTAGTGAGCAGCACGGTGATGTAGTGTCATCTCGCCTCTCCTCACCCTCTCATCCCCTGTCCACCCCTGCTCTCTGGGCTCGTGTTTGCTTTTGTTCTTGTCTCCAGTCAGCCTGACTCACGGTGATCATCTTGACCAAGCGCGGGGAAAGGTCAAGGTTGCAAATTGCCTCAAAGCAATCAGCCTTGTCTCTCTCTGCGCTAACAGCGCAAGCTCTCCCTCTCTGTCGCCATCTTTGCCCTGTCTCCATCTTTAGTCTGTCCTCCTCCATCTCTGTGTTTACCCGGGGTGGGGGGGCAGTTAGCTGGGAGGATTGGCAGCTTGAGCGAGGTAAAGGCGGTCAGCCCTGCTTTGAAGTCTCGACTCTGACCGGCAGTGGGGTGAGGGACTTAAAAGCACATAGTGTCACTGCCTGGGTGACATTTCAGCACAGAGCAGCGTGACCCAGTAGGGTGCGCCTGTACACACCAATCATCAACAACATTAAAGCCACTGACAGGTAAAGTGAATAACATAGAGCACATTGTCACAAGAATTCATGTGAACATGCACGTGGTCACTTAAAAATTATTTCAGTACTTTGGAGTTGGGAGGGATATGTCATTTTAGGAAGGTGACTTTATTGTAATTCTTATAGCCTTTTTTGCCTGTGCACTAAAACATATATTGATACACACTCGGTACCTCGGTATACATGCACATGCTGTGTGAGCCACGGCTAGATGTAAGATTTGCGTGCATTTCGTAACTCAAGGACAGCTTCCTTTGGATCACCTGTGCATTCGAGTTCATTGTGCCTGAGTGGCTCTAGCCCAATAGCTTCTCACACATGAAAGACACTTTCACGTGTCACGCAATAGACACGAACACATCTGAACAACATCAAAGTCTGCCAGCAGCCTGTAGCCGGACAAATATCTTCATCTACCACCTGATTGTTTCTGCACGTCTCTCTGTCTGTCCTGTAAATGGTGTAAACAGGTGTTAACATGTCAGCCCCCACAGGACGCCACATGCTGTGGTGTCATGATCTTCTGAACAGCTGTCCCCTAGCAGTGTGTGTGTGTGTGTGAGAGAGTGTGTAGGTGAGTGTATGTGTTCACTGCGAGGGTTATAAATGAGGGCAAGAGGAGATTTAGCCCTAGTTTTGTGCAGAGCCAAGGACAAACAAAGAGAAAGGGCAAAGAATGATAGGGGGCCTCATGGCTGTAAGCAACACATTCACCAGCTCACCGAATCCTGAAACTTAATCAGGACCTCTTTCACATTTAACACACACTACTCTTTTTTACGTTTAGGGGGGTAATCCAGAATATAACAATGCTGTGAGAAAGTATTTGTCCCCTTCCCGATTTTGTTTTTTTC